TCGACAATATGCGTTTTTGCTGGCTGTAGCAGCGCTATAGCTGCACAGCAAAAACGCATAAAAATTATCATCCGCTTTCATGAGTTCCATCTTCTACAAATTCCACTCTACAGCTTTTTCCGTCTTGAAATCGAAAGCCTCACCTAATGTGAATCTAAAACCATGGACCAATCACAGCGAAATTTTAAAGATATCTTTAGTATTAATCTTTGTATTGTCCAGCAAATCGATGTCCAGCTTTTCCATTCTTAGTTATAAAACTTATTCTAAATTGAGTCTGATCTCACATATAATCTGTTACTATGCTACGAGGTTAGAAAGTTGGTTTTAGGGAGGAAACCTTCTGCTTTTCTGAGTGATGGCCTGGAATTTTCAAATGCGCTCCTTAATCCATTCTTCACTTTCGAGACTAGCCAACTAAATTTGGATCTAAAATTATAGACTGAAGCACAGTGAGAGATCTGAACTGATTGTATATCTGTGATCTTTCGCGCAGGCGCAAACTACATTCTCGGAATTAGAGATCCTTCGATAATGCAGTTCTAGAATTTCAACAATACAATACATTCATACATATATATACGCATATATATACGTATATGTATGAATGTATTGTATTGCTATGTACATATGAATGTATTGTGCTGCTGAAATGTATTGTATTACTGAAATTCTTTAATTGCATTATATATATATAATGCAGTTCATGTATATAAATATGAATGTATTGTACTGCTGAAATTCTAGAACCACATTATATATATTTATGTATGCATATATGCACAAGCATAGATTGTAAGTGCTTCACGCAAAAATGTGGCGGGATGTTCCTACACGCTAAAATAAAGTTATGCCAGACCCTTCGATCCAAGGCAGCATGCCTACAGTTAATACTCATTACCTGTTTGATAAATGCTTGCCAGTTTTTTGGAGATCACTTGAGTGGTCGCTCGCCACCCCGTGGGTACCACGCGATTCCAACCCGCTGTAGGCAAGAAGAGCAACACGTCATGCCCATCAACTTGACTCTTTTATCGCAAGCTCACGAGGACGTTCTATGCATCATTCACCTGACATAAGATGATCACAA